TGTGAAGCTTGCACACAAGATGAGGATTGGAAGTATCTTCAAAACCTGGTGGTTGTACCATATAAAGATCCTCTGTGAGTTCTCCATTGAGAAAGGCATTGTTAAAATCTAAGTGTTTGATACACCAGCCATATGTGAGAGCCAAAGAGAGAACAATCCTAATGGTTGTTGGTTTTACAACTGGGCTAAAGGTCTCATAGAAGTCAATGCCAGCTGTTTGACTGAAGCCTTTGGCAACTAGCCTGGCTTTATGTCTTGCCACACTGCCATCTGCATGTTTCTTAAGCTTGAACAACCATTTGCAACCAATTATGGACCTGTTGGGAGGAGGAATGACAAGAGACCAGGTGTTATTCTTGATAAGAGCCTGATATTCAGATAACATAGCTGCTTTCCAAGTAGGATGGTTGAATGCTTCTTTATACGTTGATGGCTCTTCCTCAACAACTTGAGCTGCAAAGATTCTTGGTTTAAGAGAACCTGTCTTTGACCTGGTTATCATATGATGTTTAGTAACAGGAGCATTAGCAGAAGTGTTGGACTCAGTGTTATTGTCCCTCACAATTGGCAGATCAACATACAAAGGTACAGTAGAGTTAGATGGATTAGTGGACTGAGTGGAAGAAGATGAGCTAGAGGGGGAAGTGTGTTGAGACACTTGTTCCATATGCCTAGAGGGAGTATGAGAGGATGAGGGAGAGTGTATGTGAGGTGAGCTGTTTGGAGTAGGAGTTGCAGAAGGAGGACTATGCACAATGGGTGGAGGTTGGTTTAGAAATGATTGTAACTGGCTAAGTTCTGACTGTGTGGTAGTAGGTTTAGAAAAGGGAAACTGGGACTCATCAAAGATAACATCCCTTGTGACAATGACTTTTCCAGTTGGTAAGAGAATTTTGTAGCCTTTATGTTGGGAGCTGAAGCCAATAAAAGTTGATGGAAGAGATCTAGGTTGAAGTTTGTGTTTGTTATAGGGCCTGAGGTTGGGATAGCAAAGGCATCCAAAGACTTTAAGGGTGGAGTAGTTGGGTTTATGGCCATAAAGAGTTTCTAGAGGTGAGGTAAAATGTAGGGATTT